TCAAAGTCAATGGTTAGTTTCACTGTTGACCTTATGGGGAAATTTGATTTGGCTGGTGACCAATTTGGTTTGTGGCCAGAAACGTGGAAAGAATTCAGTTCCTGAACGGAGGCATTACTCATCTCTGCCCTTCTTCTAGGTGATCACAAAAATATTTCTCGTGATTATGTAAAAGTAATACGAATTACATCTTACAGCTGGTTTTCGTGGCACAGTAACAAACATCAAATTGAAATTATCTTTGTTGTGCAACACTTAAAGAGTTCAGTTCATATGATAGGTTTACTTTACCAATTAGAACAACAGCAGTATTAGTAACTAGGAGGAACATTAGAAGTGTGCAACAAATACCAGCTGCATAAATTAATAAATTCTGTGCTTATTTAAAGTGTTTTGGGTCACCGATTCAAACATTCACCAAGTACCTGCTATATGTAAATCAGGGATTATCTTTATTTTATTTTGGGGGTAGTAGTACAGACCTCACTGAAATTTTATTGTGAGGATGAAGGAGGGCTTTATACTGCCTACAACAGAGCTTCACTACTTATCCCCAACTTCTCTCCCCACAATAAATCTCTAGTCTCCATTGCTATACTAAGTGGGGTATTGATTATTCTTCAGCCTTTTGAATTACAGCTTTATTTTGATCATCAGTAGTAATTACTTACTATTAATTAGTCTGTGGCTTAAAATGGCATCTTTGAAACAACTGTATCTTTGCTTTAGAAAACAAGATCACCAATTGGAAACACTGCTTCAAAATGAGAATATATAACAAACACAATGACCTTAAATAACACCTCTTTCCTGGACAGCTGTTTCCTTATACAGAAATACCTTTTAAGAACAACAGTGATGCAGAAGTACAGGAGAAAGTACTACTATGTGAGCACAGCCAGTTTTCAGAATCACAGGCATTTTAAAATTAAAGGGAAAGGGGAAAGCTGTATCACAAAATGATGATACTTTCATCTTAATCTACTTAGCCTGACGAAAAGTGATTCCCAGGATACATACACAGGGTCTGCTTGAATAGATAGAAACATTCATATATATTCTTTTCACTGATATTCACAGAATAACATACATACTCAGATAGCCACAGACACTATAAACTATGTAGTTTACACAAACTATGTGTCTACATACATTGTATCCAAATATAAATGTACTCTTCAAATCTTGAACAACATATGCACACTCAGACACATGTAGATTTGTATTTGATACACAGGTCTATATACCATTTAAAAATACCAAAATAAAATATTATTCATTTGTTTTTAAAACCTCACAAATATTACATAAGCACAGATAAGCCTTTTCTTAATTTTAAAAGGCATGTGGAAAAGTTGAAGTTGAGGAATTTGAACTTCAGAGATTTTTAAGGTCATTTGATTCCACTAATACAACAACTAGCAACTTTTAATATTTTCAAGACCATATTCTAAAATCTAAGTCAAATTTCTTCTATATTTACCTGCCTTATGAATGTAATTTTAATAGAGAATAAGTACACATTTATCAAGCCCTCATTTATTACACTTCGATAAATTAAAGACCACAATAAGAGATCACTTCATATCCACTAGAATGGCTATTAAAAACAACGAGAAGAATGGAAAATGACAAGTTTTGGCAAAGATGCTGAAAAATTAGAACTCCCGCAACTTGCTGGTAGGAATATAAAATGTGCAGCTCTATGGAAAATGGTACAGTGGTTCCTTAAAAGATTAAACACAGAACTATCACATGATTCAGTAGTGCCCCACAGAATGGAAGACAAGTATTCCAACAAATACTGGCACATGAATGGTCATAGCAGCACTGTTCACAATAGCCAAAAGGTGGAAACAACCCAAATACATATCTATCAACGGGGTAAATGGATAAGCAAAATGTGGTATGTCCACACAATGGGGTATTTTTCAGCTATAAAAAGAATGAAGTACTGATACACGCTACATGGATGAACTTTGAAAACATGTTAAGTGAAAAACACCAGACATAAAAGGTCGCATATTATATTCCATTTGTCTGAAATATCTAAAATAGATAAATCCACAGACACAGGAAGCAAAGTAATTGTTGCCAGTGGCCAAGAGAGGGGAAAATGGGTAGTCACTGTGCTTAATGGGAAGGGGGTTTTCATTTGGAGCAGTGGAAATGTTTTGGAACCCAAGAAAAGTTATGTGTGCAACACTGTGGATGTACTAAATGCCACTGAGTTGCTTACTTCCAGAATGGCATATGTAGGTGGTATGGTGGCACACGTGTATAATCCCAGCACTCAGGCGACTAAGGCGGGAGGACTGCCACAAGTTTAAGGCCAGCCTGGGATACATAGTATGTCCAAGCCCAACCTGGACTATATAGTGAGACCCAGTCTCAAGAAACAAAAACTCCAAAATAACTCTGGATTTAAAAATCTGATCAAATAAAAAGTTCAGATATCTCATTTTTGATACAAATGCATACACATAATGAGTATGCACCAAGTTAGTCTGAGAAAAGAATTATCCTCCCAAATCTATCATGTAATTATCACACAATATTTAGGGTGCTACCAAGTCACATACCTGACCAAGGCTTTTCTTGATTAATTTATTTCGAGATACAAAGTATTCCTTAGAAAAGACAGGGTGAAAAAAAATCTCAACTTTCATTTGTGAAAGTCACTTGATATAAGTGGTAAAAAAGGAGACAAATTTAACCATAACTCAGTAATTCCTAATGCTAAATCACACATTTACAAGTGCTAGATGTCACTGTGTCCAAGCCTTTTAGAGATCTCTTTAAAAAACAACCCAGTAAACAGTTACATTGTATAGACAATTAAACATATACTTATAGTACAAAAGAAAGTAAAATTTGTAAGTGGGTACTTATAGACTTTTCAGTAGTGTCCTCAAAGGGACTTAATGTGTGCTTGACATCAAAACTTGATGATATGTTTCAAAAAATTAGTTCAAAAGTAGTTGTATTGATTACAAAGACAAGGATATAAAAGATGCAAATGAAAGAACTGGAAATTGAGATATTAAAAAAGTAGAATTCCTCAATTAATATATAACCTTATTCCTAAATTAATATATAATCTTTCATTTTTAAAAAATTCAAGTTACCAAATCCATTTGAGATCTTAGTGGAAAAATAGGAGATAATTTTATATTCAAAGATTATCACTATATGTGTCAGTTAAACAATTTTGCTAAAAAGTGATTGAATGCCAACAGTAGCTATTTGGGAGTTGTGATTTTAATTTTCTCTATATTTCTTTTATGTTTTCAACATTTTCTTTCTACATATAAACCTTGATTAAAACAAAAGCAGTAGAATTTAAGAAAATAAAGCTTATGTTCACAAAAATTCTACAACTTCTATGGAACAGGATCACAGAATCTTTGCTCTGAAAGAGGCCAACAGTCTCTCAGTTCAGGCCTCTGTCAAATCAGAGTAACCCTATCTATGATAATCTAATATTATCTACTTTGTCTCAAACACTTCCAGGTACACAAATCAGTTATTCTGAAAACAAATCATTCCACTGTTAGCTGAAAAATTCAGCAGTGATCCATCAGTACAGTACTTTTATTCAATTTCTGTAGTAGACATTTAGGTTTTTATAGTAAGTCCAAATATGTATGGCTCTCTAATTTCCTAATACTATTTTCAATTTTGTAACCTGGAGAAAGAACATATGGTTACTCTTTTATACAACTGTCCTTGAAGTATTTACAACAGCTACTGAAAGTATCTTAATCTCTCTTTTTCTAGCTTTATTTTTAATTCTGCTTTTCTATATTCCATACCTAAAATTTGCTATTATTCTTAAATGGGGTATTACAAGGCCCCAAACAACATTCCAAATAGGTTTCTGATCAGCTTTAAATACTCAGAATAAACAGTCTCAGCATATCAGACTTTCTTTTTTTTTTTTTCTCAAATACAGTTTAAGACTATACTGCATTGCTAGCAGTTACTATTGAAAGCTTAAATTTATAGTCAACTAAACGCCACAAGTCTACTTTACCCATGACACATCCCACATTCAATTTTAGAAAAGTTTGTAATTAGAATAAATGGCGTGTGGGGGATATAGCTCAGTGGTGTAAGTGCCTGCCTGGCAAGCGCAAGGTCGAGAGTTTGATCCCCAGTACCGAAGGAAAAAAAAAAAAAAAAAAGAATAAATGGCGTGTGTCTCTTATTTGGTCCCTAAAGTCTCTCCCTCTACCTTCTATGTTTTGTAGCCTGACTAAACTTACAACACAATCAACATATCCATTACTTATTTCTTGTTTCATCTACAGCAAGTTGAAAACTTTCTATGCTCAGTTACAGAAGAAAATCACATCATCAAGGGCATGTGATCTCCTAATCAGGGAGAAAGGCAAAGTAAACACATAAATGGTGAAAACACAATGATTATCCCTAAGATGTTAGGAAACCACCAATGAACACACAAACTTAGTTTTCCTTTTGGTGTTTCTCAGCACCTGCAACTGCACCAAGTCCCAGAGGGGATGGGAATTTCTCTGTTTTTCTTGCATACATTTTTAGGGTTTAAAAGACTAGTTCTTCCTTAGTTTCTAAGATAACTGGATTTATATAAATATAGCCACCAACTTAATGTAAATCCTTAGGAACCAAGAAATGCTAGTATTTTAGGTTTTAGATTCAAACCTAAAGGTTATACTGTACATTAACTGTAGTCTTATCAGTGATAAACCTCACTCAATGAAATCTCTACATTTCTGCTATGCCCAAAATCATTATAATCTGCAAAAAATTAGAGAAACTATACCTATTTGAAAAATTTTATCTGCCAATATTTCCTTTAAGACCATATAAGACTGGCGTAAGGCCTTAGGGGTACTTCCCACTTCCTGAAGTGCTTTGTTCATTGCTGTCCACAAATTTTCATTAACAGTGCATCAATGCACATTCAGTGTGTAATTCTCTCAGACTTGGTAGAAGAGCTAACTGTCTGAAATTACCTTGAGTGGTAAAGTTGAAGAGTGCAGGTGTGTCTCTCCCATTTGGTAGTTTGACATTTGGGTCCCGTAATTCATCGAAAAATGAATGCGCACAAGCTTCCAGTGGTGTCAGTCGGGCAGTTGGTGTATACTCCAGCAGACGGCTACACAGTGCAATTGCCTCTGGTGGAGTTCGGGGTCGGAAGACCTTAAGTACAAGGAAAGGGAAAAAACATCAATGTTTTATCATAAGAACCTAAGCAAATAACCCTGTGAGTACTCTGTTATTTCCCATCATGGACAAAAACATGGTGTATTTGGGAAAGGTGTCTTCTAGAATGAAAAGAGTTAACTGCATGTGATTAGCACACTGGGGTAAGTTGCTAATTAAAGGCTATTTGAGAAATACTCAGAGAAAAATCTACACATGCTAATAATAAAGGAGTACATTCAAACATGCATATAAAACAGGACAGGCACATGACAAAGGCTTAAGTCTGGAGGCAAGCATAACTAGAATAATATAAAAAAAAAAGATCAGACTCTGTAAATAAAAGATTGCCTCTCTGGCATTAATCTTAGCAGAACAATTGTTGGTAATACATGGCACTGTCCAAATTTGGCAATCAATATTTAAAAAAAAAAAAAAGAGAAGCTGTTACTCTACAAATGTGAATGCTTCTCAATAAGCAGAGCCTACCATTATTTGAAGAAGTTCTTGAGTACCCTGATTTGATAAAATGCCTGACAGTGTTTTCTCAAGTAGCTGTTATCATGAATGTGGCCAGGTCACTCTTATTTGAGTGAAACTGAATAAATACTTTATGGTTTTAATCAGGGAGAGGGAAATGTATTTTTCATTAAGAGCCATGAGCAGGAAAAGTCAAATGAAGGCCATATGTAATTAAATGTAGGCCATATGTAAAATGTAATTAAACTAATTTTCTTAAAGAAATAAACAGCTTTCTACTCATCTGTGTCTTAAAAGGAATCAATACACAGAACTGTGAGAATATACTTCATTGCAAATTATGCTAGTTAAAGAAATTAAAGGGGAAAAGAGAAACAAACGTAAGTAGGTAGACGAGTTTTTAACACCAAAGAAAAATGAAACATACATCCCTTGGTAGAATAAAGGTGTGGTAGTGGAGGTGGACAGACACATAAAGGGAAGCAGCAGAAATAAGTGGAGGGGAAAAGATCTGTAAGTGAGGAAGGACATGAGCTCTGATGGGGGTGAAGGACTCCGTGAAGCTGAAGTTTCCTTACGGCAACGGCTCATGTAACATCCTGTTGTTCACTTAGGGTGAAAGTGGGAGAACTAGGCATGGCTGGAGTTCATAAGGTATTGAGAGGACTTGGAGTGCTTTCTACAAAAACTGAAAACTTAAAAAAAAAAAATCATACAGATCACTACAGAAAAAGATTATTTTCCATGGAAACTGAGAAATTGGGTTGAGTAGGATCTTAATTTATTTCACAACCTAGTGATCTTAGTCAATTTATTGGCTACACTAGAGAGCCCTTTGTAAGATCAAAAACTGCCTTGTCTTTAGGATTCTGAGTACTCTTAGTTGAGAAAACTTGCCGGGAATATAGCTAAGCGGCACAAATGCCTCCCTGGCAAGTGCAAGATCCTGAGTTCGATTCTTGGTACCAAAAAAAAAAAAAAAAGAAAAAAAGGAAAAAAAAAGAGAAAACTTTAAAATGGTTAGCTCTTCCTGTTTCTGGTCATTTCTCCCTTTCTTGCTTAAGGTCCATAATCAAATCCAGAAAGCAAAAAAGAAAATGGTGGGAAACCTAACAAAATTTACCGTAAAATCATTAAACATGCATTTTATTTTATATTTTATTCCTTTACCTACTTGATATTATATTAATTTATTTGGTAGCTGACCCAATATGCTTAAGCACCAATAATGGTACCATATAAGTAGAAGGAAAAATAGCATCACATTAAAAATGAGTATTCCTGCTACAATTCCAATGTAGGTTTAGCTAGACGGTGAGTTATTTTAAAGAAGTTTCATATTAATGAAGTTTTTTTTTTTACATTAAAGGTATTAATAAACAAGTAATGGAAGTTTATTTCTGACAATCTTCTTTCCTGTCTTTTCAATGTTTTACTGGCTATGATCATCCAGTTTGGTACCAAGATGTATTTGTGTATTTTGTCAGAAATCTTAACTCAAGAAGTCAGAATTAAAAATCATAAAGAAAAGAACTAATTTCAAGAATCTACATTAAAATCAAGATACAGAGATCCCTTGATGAGAAAAGCCATGGCTTGGTATTCTGTGGAGAAAAGTTAAGTGGAAAGTTATGTGGGGTTAAGACCCAACATCCCAGTTTAGATTTCTGACAATAATACAAGGTGTAGCAGCATGCAACTTCCAAAAATTACAGTCCAAATCAGAAACTAGCTCTCCTGAATTACCTTTGTATCTAAACAGAAGGAAACCAACAACTACTGAAATACAGGCTTTAGTAAAGAAGTTTCTGTTGCCACATTTCTTGCTCGTTGAAATTGCTTAACATCCAGAGCCTCTGGTTTAGTAGATCTTCAATTATTTTATTCTTGTTAAGAGTAATAATTTGAATACCCCACAATTCCTAAACTTCCACCTAGATCTACGTCAAGGATCACCTAGGAGACTGACAATCTAAATATACCATAAAAACCTACACCATACAATGAAAGCAGAAATCACAGCTACCTACACACTGTTTTTATTACTGCATTCCAAGAATTATTTAAATTTTCACAAAATATTTACCCCCAAGTTTTATAGACCTGCTCTGAAATTGTGGGAAAAAAAAAAATTAAGTACATACCCGCACTCCTGAGGTGAAATGTCCTGTTCCTGACGAATCCTAAAGATGATAATGCAGTGAAATAATCCAAACAGGGGAAGTCAATCCAAAAGAGAATAGTCCAGCAAGGAAAAATATATCCAATGTTATGAGAAATCCATGGTGTAGGGGGACATAGAAAATGTTTATACAATTATAAACTTTAAACATCAGTAGCAAGTCCAAAATTTAAAAATTATTTCACGACAGTGTATGCAAAAAATTTTTTGATTGTGCAATGGTGAGGCACAGTAAAGAAACATTTAAATTTGTTTATTATGTTCCAATGCCAGTGTGTTTATTAAAAAAATACAAAACCAAAAAAAGTTAAATCAAAATGAAATCTAGAAGTAAAGTTCCCAAAGTAAAGTGGTCTTCTATGACCTGGATTCATCATCCATAGACATGGCTGGGAGGGGGCATATTAGCCTGCTTTTAAAGATGTAGGTTCCCAATATATTAATTTTTCACAATTAATATGTCCCAGTTACGTAGTGTAAACGTTTTTTGCTAAATTATTAGTGATGAGAGAAATATATTAAATATATTTAATTTATATACTATAGATTTCAAGCTAGATTATTTTCAATTTGTGTGAACTAAGAACGATTAGGCCACCGCGGATTATTCTCCATTTTTGGATTGACTTCCCTGCTAAAAGATTTACTGACATTCTCATTATCTTAGGACTCTTCAGGAAACTGACATATCACATCAGGAGTGCGGGTATAAACTTACTTTTTCTATATGGGCTTTGCCCCCTCATACCCTTGCACCCATTACTGAGGAAAAATATGTAACAACCTTTCCTTTTTAGAAAAATTCACTGAAAAAAAAAATCTACATTTTTTTAGCACTACAAATTCAACACAGTTCCGTCTGCAAATATGCCCAATTCACCCACCAAAAGCTAAACAAAAATTTATACAATAAACAATACAATTAAGGGACAGTCACAGTTACAGGTGACATGCATAGTAATGTACACCAACACCTAGGCACAACGGAGCCAAATATACAAGAGTGGTAGCAGGGTCTATTATGTCTAGGTATTGAGAACAAAAAAACAAAAGGCAGAACTCACCAGTAGCTGTGAACTCCCTTGGCTATTCTAAGAGAATGTAACATTCTTTAGGATAGTTTCCAGTGGGAGAATTAAATATTTTGCAAAAATAAATAATCCGCGGATTATTTTTAGTCTGCAAACTAAGATTTAGTATATGGACTAAAATCCAGCCCGTAAGAATAAAAATTCTCACAACACAACCATGTGGACAAAAATAGAAAACCATACTAAAAGACCTGACAGCACAAAGTAAAATTCAACTGGGCCAACTAACAATTAGTGCGCAGACTAAATATGGCCAGCAAATACGCAGCAAGGCCACGGAGATTAAAAAAAAAAAAACCCCTTTAAAAAACTAAAAGCAAAGGGTAAAAGAAAAAAGAAAAAGAAAAAAGAAAAACAAGGAGAAAAAAGAACAGAAAAAAGAAAAGAAAGAAAATATAGAAAGGGAAAATTCAAAAGAACCAAAACACTGACATGAACTTTTAAAGTGATTTAAATACTACCTCACCTATGCAGCAACGTATCTTCTTAAAATGAAACATCAGCTCTCATCACAAATGCTAATCCACAGAAAAATACATTTTTTTTTATCAAAAAGAAAGTCTATGGTGTCGAACAAATGCAAACAATTATTCAAAGTAAATTTGCATTTGGATAACCCAAAAATGACACAGCTGATTTTCTTCCTGTATGTCCTAGAACAGATTTTGGCTATCAAAGTTCAAACTGGAGCTTTAAATTAAGACTGAATCTCAGCCCTCTGAAATGGCTGTTTATTAAAAATCTCATCCACTGACTGTATCAAGCCTATAGCTAGGCTGCTTCTCAAACATCAGCCGTTACTAACTCTGCTATATTATGCAGCCAATCAGAGCAATACGAAACTGACACTATAGTATGGCTAAAGACAGTAGTAATTAATTTAAAGAACATAGAGCAAGTGTTGTGATGGTTCCAAACAGCTATTCTTCACTAGTTTTCATAATAAATTTGGAACACGGACACTGTATTCTGGTCATATACAAAATATAAGCCCCCAGTATAAAAATGAATACTCCAACAATATTCTTAAAGTGCAATCCAACACGGACTCTTAAGTAACCTATTAATCATCTAAAATGAGACAGTGTCACTGAATGTTAAATACGAAAAGAAACTAAGTGTATCAAACTGCTTATATGAAGCATATAAATCAATAATTAACTGGTCTACACTATTTTTAAAAACATTTTTGGACTGTTATACATTGATCTAATGATGCAGTGACTTGAGGTAACACAACTCATTTTAATAGTATCAAAAATGATTACCAGAAGCTACTGAAAACTGATTTTCCGACAGTACATGAGCCAAGTAAAATAGGTATGTTTGAAGTTAGCATCTAAAGCGGTGGACATGCAAACTGAATACAGTGCAGGCCTACTCAAGAGATACATCCTTCTGACCTTTGAAGACAGCAATTCTAGATTTAGGTAGGGAAGGCTGAGTATAAGTCACAAAGAAGACTGTACTTTCCTTAGCTATGACAGAGTACTCAATGAATTTCAGTTGCACTAATTCAAAAGCTCCTTGAGTTTTCCCGAGTTCTACTACATGTAAGAGCATTATATGTAGGTATTAGTACTTAACTATGCAATGTAATTTCCCCTAAATCATTCACTGATGAAATAGTACAACAGGCTTACACATTACATGTGATTTACCAAATAATATTCACTTAACAAATTTAATCTCTTATTGTTCACAAAACAGTTACTGTAGTCAGGTTGGCCTTCCCAAGAATACATGAATACAGTACTTGCTTTTCATCCACATCTTCCCACTGAAGCAGTATTTAACTTGGCTGCAATTCCTAACCTTTTCTGTAGCTTTTTATATCCTAATTCTCCTGTAAAAGCCTACTTTTTCTATCACCTTTAAGGAGACTTCCTTTTCCTCCCCAACATCTTCACTAAAGATCCACTTTGTAACACCTATAAGAATGTGGAAAACCTTGGAACTATTATAGTATATTATCAAGCATGTGGTTAAATAGTATTTTACTTTAGTTAATACTTGTATCTACTGTGCTTTTAAGGGCAAGAACTGCATTTTACTTCTGCATACTTCATGATACCTAGCACAGTACTGGTTACATAGAACACACAAGATTTAAAGAACAAATGATAAATCAGATTACTGCCTCCCTTTTCAATCTATCCCTAACCCCATCTCTGCCCCCCATAAACAATCTTTAGAAGAAGTCCATTCACATAGGAAAATGGACATTAGCAAAGGGGAGGAAGTGATTATTCTAGCACTAATAAAGATATAGGCAGAAATTTCAGTAGAGAACATACTAGAGGTACCCACGAGATAAATGATAATGGGTTAGCAGAGTGTCCAGGGCAGAGAAGCTTGAATAATTATATAAAATGTTTACCATTTATCATAAGTAATACAATAAAATAGGTGAAGTGGCAATCTTAGGAGCGAACAGAAAACTCCAATATGGTTTTATGTTTTTGGAATCTATGTGAATGAAATAAGATAGAAGAACCAAAAAAGGTAGATACAGGAGATATGCAAGAAAAGTTTGACAGCAATCTTTGTTTTGTTCTTTTTAAGCCTCTTTGTAGGCATTTTTGGTAATGTACTGAATAATAGTTAAAACATAAATTTTTAAGTTCTGAAAAATCTTGTAATTAAAGGGTCAGAGGGAAAAAAGGAAGAATATGAAGAAAAAAAGAAGTCTAAAATGATAGTTACAGTGGACCTTAGAACTCAATTTTTTGCCCACTCTGCTAGCTAGGTGGGAATATTAGTATTCACTCACATTAAAGCATGTCACCTGTATTCTAAGAAATCAAGTGTTCAAAGATGAATTTTTGTGGATAATGCTTTCTGGGACCCACACATGTAACCTACTGACCTAAAATGACACAACAAATATTTTAAGGTAATTCACAGCTGTACTATGATTATGAAAGAGAAATCAGGAACTGCTATAATATAAATATTACTAGTTAGTAGGTACTATAGGAGTTATAGAATTGAAATACAGTAGTCATGAAGAACTTGGAGAATAAGAAAGTATTCCATGGGCTAAGTGAGACTTGAGATCTTCAGAAAGGGTAAGACTTGGTGAACAGAAAAGAAAAAGAAGAGCACTCTAAGTGGGATGGGGAACAAAACTGCAAAAGGTAGAAATAAATATGGCTTCCCTGGAGTCACTTAGGAAATAGTTTGATTACGTCAGAAAGTTCCACATGACTTCAGTGACCTTCAATATAAGCTGCAAGCTGAACAACACCCATATGTGGCTAACATATTAAGTAGCCCTATAATGACTGGAGATTGGGGCCCTTGGGATTCTAATCTACTTCCTTCTACAAGTTATATCACTTATGAAAGAATATGTAGACATCTGTGTTGCTTAATTGATTTCACAGGATTGTTAACTAGCAAGATAAAGTGGGAATATCTGTCCTCTTGAAATCTCAACAGAAAGACAGCAAAATTGGGCACTCAAAACAAGGGGAAAAAAATCCCAACACACCTACTATAGCATAACCTTATTAAAAATTTCTAATCTATCTAGATATAACTTTAAAATTCATTGCCTAACTATGCATTTAAGGAGGAAGAAAGTTGGAGACCTTGGTAAAGTGACTAGTTTCAAGCAATGAAATACCTAGAGAAGGTTAACAGCAAGAGAAGAATTAAAACGTCTGTTTTTCTGGAAAGGAAAGGTATAAAAGATAAAGAACACAGTGACTGCCTGGTGTGGTAGTGCATGCCTGTAATCCTAGCACTTGGGACGCTGAGGCAGGAGGATGGCTGTGAATTTGAGGCCAGCCTGGGCCACAAAGAGGTGAAATCCTATCTCAAAAAGACCCCCCAACCTCCCCCAAAAAAGAACAGAGTGACTGAATAATCTGTCACCTAAACTGAGATACTTTGACAGTACTGAATTACATAGGAATCAGAACATTATGAATCACAGAACCAGCCTTGTTATACGTATTTTACGCCAAATTTCTCTAAAGACTGGGACAGTACCACACAGCCTTTTATTTTGTTTATTTTTCTGAGACAGGCTCTCATTACATAATCCACGCTGGCTATGAACTCACAATCCTCCTGCTTCAGCCTCCTAAATGCTGGGATTCCACATGTGCCATCACATAGAATTCCCACATACACTTTTAAAAAGCTAACTTTGATAGCAATGACAATGGACTGAAGTGATGTGAAACTAAAGAGGTAAAACTAGGAGGTAGCTGATTGTTGTACAATTGTATTACATAACAATGTCTAAAACTAAAGTTAGAACAATGGAGACAGAAAAAAAAAAGGAGGACAAATCAGAGAATTATGTTGAGGTAGAACTTTCACATTTACTTAGAATTAAAATAAAAAAGTCCTTTATAAGTATATTTACATTTTCAAAAGAGCCTGAAGGCAAGTCAGATAATTACCATCTTACCAAAGAAAAAAGCTGAGGCATAAACTTTAGGAGCAGCACAGTTTACCTCCTTACTTTACTTTTTACAGCCTGTCACCTAACCCTGCCTTCACTTTCTAACTGCAGAATTTAAGCTTCTTTACCTCTCCATCTCTGGCTCTACTGAATTCTCAACCTACCTTTACATCACTTTCTTTCACTTTCAATCTGGTTTTCTTTGAAGTGCACCACAAAGACCAATGCAGAGGGCCTATGTTCTCCCATACCCAATAATGATCCCTGTTCAAAACCATGACCACCTATTTCCTTCCCCACTTAAGCCCCAAGTGTCTTATTAATGGATTAGGTTGCACTGGCTATGATGCAGCAGTCAAGGGCACCTTAATGGATTCCTGCCATACACCACTCTGGGATCATCTCAGTGTTTTGTTTTTCCTCTATCCTACACACCTGTATCCCGTTATCCCATTATGTACTTTCACAGAACACATTTTCTTCCTTAATTTTTATTTCTGACTGAATGTTTTTTGAGAATCAAGCTACCAGTCCTGGGGATCTAGTTGCATTGCACAGTGACTGAAGAAATCAGGGTTCACATTCATATAGCTACAGCTTTGGGAAACAGAAAACAGCAAAGAAAAAAGATCGTTCTTGTTTTTTGACTCCTCCTTTCCAGACCTTAATGGCACAATACTCTAATCTTTACAGAATATAATGCATGTTTTTAAAAATTATTCCACTGGCTGCTTAGCATAAGACGGCATTTCTCAAGTTGCTGTCTACCATCACAGTGGGGGAAGGCAGGGAAGGCAGGGAAGGCAGGGAGAGGCAACTGAAATAGCGCTAGGAATCTTAAATTTTGTATTTTCGTAATAAGCTATTTTTAAAAAAAATCAAAACAAGCATATTTTGATCATCTGACAAAAATGGAACCATGGAATTTCTGCACATCACCTGAATTTGTGTGTACTGAGAAATTAACAAGTATGACTAAAATGAAAACCAAGTTATGTCAAAGGACATGTGTATGAATGAAGGGTTCACAGTAATTTTAACAGAAAAGGTAGAACTAAATCATTATTCTACACATGGTATAGGAAAAAAAATTAAGAAAAGGGTCTTTATATAAATTATTTATTTGAATAGTATTAGAATATTATAGAAATATCAGGAATCCAAGAAGGTGAAAGAGAAGTTTAAAGCATACAAATTCATCACAGCTGTTCTGCTGGCTGAATTTCAATCAATCATTCCTCACATTCCACTCTGGGTAATACTCCCAAAGTCAGGAGACAACCCAAAGGAAAAATGCCGAATATGACACACACAAACCTGATGGCAATGGTGAATTTTTAAAAATGAGGATGGGGACTGTTAAAATTATTTCATGACCGGAGTATCAGCTTGATGAATACTTTAATTACTCTGGAAAAGTGCTTTTCTTTTCTCCTTTCATAAAAATAATATTAAAGAAACTATGGAAATATAGGACAGGTAAGGCAAAGAAAACAAATCATACTCTTCTTACCCAAATCTACATATTTTGACATATTTCCTTATTTACTCAGTGCAGAATTCTTTGTTATTTTCTCCTTAACCTGACTGAAATCATAGTATACTATAAATCACTTATTTTAACACTTAGAACTTTTAATAGTTTTAATGGACTCAAACTAAATCCAAAATAAGCTACCTGGGATTCCCCGGGTTAGAGTCAAGTGAGAGCCGCTTAGTATCTTCTGACTCAAGTTCAAAATAAACCTTAAATATAAAAATCCAAGCATACTTTATTGATCATTTAATGTTTAATCATAAAATTTTAAAAGAAAGGGAAGAATATACTGGTCTCTTGGTCAGAGAAGCCCTATAATTCTGGCACTAAAATACTGAGGTTTTGGTTTCAAAAGGAAATAATAATTAGTAGTATGATTTTCTGAAGAGAGGTAAGGAGATGCTAAGTACCTCACGGAAAGTAACAGTTGAGTGGCGGAATGTATGTTTTGATTCTGGCAAGTGTAAATTACTTCATCTATAGCTCTAAGTTATTTTATTGCTTATTACAAATGATCTGAAACCAATTATATGAACTTCTTAATAACCAGAGCAAACTATTATATGGACATTTAAAATCCAGAGCATCTCTGAATTATATTATTACCAAGTTGACCATCCTAACCCACAAAAAATATGTAAGGAGATAATAAACAGTGCATGGCACATTACTGTAGGTTTAAGAAATTCATCATTAAACACATGTGCACAGATAGTAATGAAAAATTTAATCTGGTCTTTGTCACAAGCCACCTATATACAATCTTGGATAACCTTTCGTTTTCTCTGCACACTCAATCACAAAATTGGTAAGTAAAACTGAGGTGAAAAAACTTTTGAATAAATTATTTCCTAAAAACATTTAAATTAAGTACCAACAAAAAACTATCTTCTGGTACATTAGTAAAACTGTGCTCTTTAGAACTGGTTCCATCTAATGTTAAGATCAGCCTTTTCCAATGGCTGCTGATATCCTTTACATGTATCAACTGCTTTCCAGATATACTCCCAGAAAGATTCCATCTGCTTTTTAAGGCTGCTCCCAAAATACCAATAGGAAAGAAAGCAGGGAAAGAAAAACACACATAAAAGAAGAATATGGATAATGAATAATGAACCTCTATGTAAATAAACTTCTGAATTTTAGGTTGTCAAACTTTATATATAAGATCCTGCTCTGATATTTTAATGATACAGGTACCCTAGTATGCAAGCAAATGAAAGCCCAGGCTGGAAACTTCACAGGAATTCAGTAAGAGCAAAACTATATACAGTCAATGCAGTACTGAAGTACAACTACTCAACTCTCTTTACATGCAGAACTGCTATGCTTTTGTGTCCAGGTACTTATCCTGGTCTCCAAATAGTTTAAGAACAATGAGAGACCCAAGTTGTAGCTGATATGCTTTCCTAAAAAACTCATTTTCACTCACCTTTGTCCAAGGATGTGCCTTAATTTGAGGGAATTTGAATTCTGTGTAGTTTGGGTTCATTTCTCTAATTTGCTCCCTTGTTGGTGTTCCAAGGACCTAGACAAAGGAAAAAATAACATGGTGCCATCTTTTCCCAACACTTTTACATATACAGTCTCAACACACTGAGCTTTTCAAGCCTCTAGAGATGCACTAGGCACTGCACAAAGTAAAGTACATGGACCTGGTGGTGTAAGACAGGTGTCAGGAAGAAACCTTTAATACTAAAAGCGAGCACTTTGAAGAAACTCTATGACATGGTATAATACAAGTTCATTGAAATTGAACATTACATCGTTTATAATTAAAGGACAACTGCACAGAAGAAGAGTAATGCAATAACCAGTACTTAACTTGTGGTGGCAACCATGAGCATTCAGGATAATTCTATAACCATTCTGGTCAGGGTGAGAATTTTCCTATTTTTTGGTGGTTCTAATTCTCTGGACTCCATTAAACTTTTGAGAACTTCATCAAAATCTTAAATAGTTTGTTCTTAAAAGATACGCAAGAAAATGCAAAGAAAGGCAAATCAGAGAATGAGAAAACATTTGAAACCATACTCTGCAAGGTGTTTGGAATACATGGACAGTACTAGTGACATTATATTAAGTAAAATAACTTTTGCGTAAGTTAAGTACTGCACCATTTCACTTCTATGTGGAAACTAAAACACTGATCTCAAAGGAAGTAGGGAAGAGAACGATGATCATCACACCCTGGGAATGGTATGCGGGTTAGGAAGGATGGAGACAGATGACAAGGGTGTAGTTGGTAAGGAGTAGGAACTCCTAAAATTCTGCACTGCAGTAGAATTAACTACAGTTGACAACTGAGTATTTCAAAGTAGCTAGTAGAGAAGATATTGAATATACTCAATACAAAGGAATGATGTAAGTCTCAAGGGACAGGCCAATAACCATTATTACCCACTGCATACTTGTATCAAAATGCCACACTGTATCCCATAATGTAAAACTAGTATGGGTCAACCAAAAAAAAAATAATAACCCAATAAAGGTAGATATAAATAGACATTTCTCCGAAGACAACATAAAGACAGTAAATATACACACAAACTTTTTCAACACCATTAACTGTTAGGGAAACCTTAGTTAGGGCTACAGGATACCACTACACGGTACTCTGTGGCCAAATAACAAGGCTAAAATTAAAGGATTTTTAGGGGAAAATGAGTTTTAGGACACGGTATCAAAGAGTCTGATTATGGGATTTGGTTGGAGGGGAAACAATTCAGTTTGTAATTTCAGCAGCTGTGACAAATGTTTAGGGTATTAAGCACAAAACTGTAGACCTGGAGAGAAAACAGTATTACAGTCAAGGCACTGAGGAAGAACCGGGAAGAGTCCTTCACCAAGTGGTGGATGTAGGTGTATCATTTAGAAATTGCCTTTGTAGTACCTGCTCTACTGAAATAGGTTGCTATAAAAGTGTTTTTTAATAGGCAAGGCAGATAGAAGTGCTAAAGATGGGAGCTTATGGGACACAAACACATGAAAATAAGGATATTTAAGGAGTCTGAGATGGAAGTCTAATGGTTGGAAGAGGTCCCACAGTCAATACATGGTCAATATTTAAAGGACAGAGAGGTAAAATAAAGTTCAGAAGATGTTCACTGACGTTGGCCACGAAGACTTCCTTTCTGACCTCGATGACATCAGTTATGAGAACAAGCTGACATCATGACCTGAAATGAGTTCAGTGAAGACAGCAAATTCTTTCAAAAAGTACGTAAGAGAGAAAAAAATAATTTATTGAGCTTATAATGTGTTAAACCAGTGTACCAGCACTATGACAATTTCTTTCCTCATTTAAAGTTTTACAGATACTGCATTACTCCATTTTATACTTCAAGAAACCTAAAGATGACTGAAGCCTCAAAGTTACAGTTTGTTGGTGGCTGATGAGAGATACAAATGTCTGTGTAAATGACTCCCCAAAGTAGCTTACCCAGCACTAAGAGCAGGAAAATGCTGTTTAAAATAAACTTAATAAATCATTTTCTTAAACTTCTTTGATTATACCATAAAAAGAATCCTGAGTTCTTTTAAACTGTATAGATATATTAAAATTTTAGAAATAGAATCATTAAAGACTGATAACATGAAAACACACATGCTTTAAACAAAATCTACACATATGATGATAACACAATTTTAAAAATATCTTGAATTGTTAACAACAAGTCTTAGGCAACAGAAGACTAATATGAAATACATGTTTCTTTTTTTTTTTCTTTTGAGACAAGGTCTCACTGTGTAGTCCAAGCTGGCTTTGAACTTACTATATAGCCCAGACTGGCCTTGAACTCATGGTGATCCTCCTGCCTCAGCCTCTGCAGTGCTGGCATTTCAGAAGTGTGCAACCACATCTGGCCTGAGTACAGTTTTCTAACTGGCTAAAAAAAATCAAGGAGTGTAACACATCTAAAATTTATTTTAGGATGCTTCATAAATATAATTTATAAAAATTTTTAATTGATCTAGCAAATCTGTTAAGTCACTTTTCAGGTTTCCATACTTGTAGATTCATACTGTAAGTACTTTACTTGCACATACTTGGATATATCTGCAATAGCAAACTCAAAATCACTACCAAACATACTAGTGTAATTGTCAGTGACTTTTTTCACATGTGTGAATTTTTGATTGGAATGTGAAATGCTTTCAATGTGAATAGGCAAGTTTTAGACATATTGTAAGTAACATTCTAGTATTTATAAGTAATTTTAATTGCAATTATTTTTAATCCAGGGCTAAAGTGTAAAAACTATTGTTGCTACTTTACAGTAATCCCTTGTTGGATAGTTTGCAATTTTCTCCCACTCTTCAATTTTTTTCCACTCTTGATTATTTACTTTGCTGTGCAGCAGCTTCCTAGGTTGATATAATCCATGTACCTATTTTGGGTTTTGCTGCCTGTGCTTTGGGGAACCAATCCCAAAAGTCACCGTCTATACAAATGTCTTCAAGTGTCTTTCCCGTATTTTCTTTTAGTAGTTTCACAGTTGCAGGCCCTAATATTGAGGCCTTTGATCCATAGCAAGTTGGTTTTACTATATGACAAGAGATGAAGGTCTAATTTTTCTTTTGCACACAGGTATCTAGTTTTCCCAGCATAATTTAATAAAGACACTGTTTTCACTGTATGTTTTTATGACTTGGTAGATCAGCTGGTTTTAGCTATGCAGACTTATTTCAGTTATTTATTTTAGATGTGTGGGTTTTCCATGCTGTTCCATTCATCTATGAGCTAATTTGGATGGCATACCATACTGTTTGGATCACCACAGTTTTGTAATATGTTTTGAGGTCAGGTATTGTGATCTCTCTAGCTTTGTTCTCTTTTGTTCAAGATTGTTCTGGCTATTCAGGGTGTTTTGTGGTTCCCTATGAATTTTTAAATTGTTTTTCTGGAAATGGTCTACATCTTGACCAGAGTAGTAATTATAGGGATAAGTATGTTTATTAAGGCTAATTAAGCTGTACACTTAAAATGGATATACTTTACTACATGTAAACTACATCTCTATAACTTGATTTACAAGGGAAAGAAAAGACCATTATGTAATTTGTGTTACCTTTACTAAATATATACCAGATGTTTATCCTCTTTATGGTTAGCTATTTTAGGCTAGCACTAACAGTATCAGAATCAAGCCTTAAAATCAAAACTATTTTATTTATAATCACGTTAAGAAAGTAAAGACATAATCATCAGATAGTTTTAAAAACTTTTTTCAGTCTCTAAAGTCATTGTCCTATTCAAAATATTTGGTTCCTATCCTCAAGCTACTCAAAAATCAAGAATAACCAGCAAAGCACAAAAAGCAAGTGATATATTATGAAGAGCAAAAATTCCAAATACCTGATTATCTATAATTGTACCACAAGTAAAAAAGATTTGGACAGATCAACTGTTTCAATTTCTGGCTTTATGTTTAGATTTTATATTAAGTTTTTACTAGGTTCAGAATACATTTCTGTCTGATTTACTCCAACTGAATTATATATTTGGAATTTTTGAAATTGGACAATAAACTTTTCCATTTTGAAGATAAAAAATATGGACTTGAAGATTAAAAATATCATCATACCAGACACAAAACAAGTCTTACATTTCTCTTGAATTTTAAGATATGGAACATATTTTTCTTCTGAAACTTTTAGACTGAGAACATACTTTAAAAAAGTATTACTTATTTTTGATTTCCTGAAAACTGATTTCTTTTATGACTTAAGGAAACTAAAGTGGATATAAATGCTTTGTGTACTCTTCTGTAAGTATGATATTTCACAAAGAAAACGAGGAAGGGGAAATGCTAAAAATCATCTCACCAATAGGAAAAGAATGCATTCTCACCTACTAGAACTCACAACTTTCCTATTTGTCTAAAACTTATCACCATTCTAGAGCATCATGGGGGTGGGTGGCAAACAGATACAAAGAATCAGTCTGCTGTACAGTCTTTTGGTGGTATGGTCCATGCCCTCATAACCAGTCATTTCAACTGTACCTAGTTCCACCTAGGTTCCTGGAACCATCCTGGTTCCATTTCTTGAATTAAAAATTTATCCAGACACTAAGGAAGATCAGGAATTGTGAACTGGCAATTCTCAACTTCAAAGAAATAAAACAAGCCAAAGGAAGCATTTGACAGGCTCTGAATTTAGGTGTTTCTTTCATAGGCTTGCTTTTTTAGAGCTCGACACCAGGGGTCGCCAAACTTCAGCAATAGAGCTGCAAGGCTCTTTAAAAGCCAAGTGTGAAGTAAAATAAATCATATTAGAAATACATAATTCCTCTGCTTAAAATCCTGCAGTGCCATCCAACCTCCTAAAGTAATGTGATCTGGTCACTGCTTACACCTTCAGACTTCTCGTTCCTGATAAACTCATATCCTATCAATACCACCACAATCTGAATTCCAACAACGTAAAACACAGATCTTCTTTCACTAAGTATCCTTTCCCTTTCTAAAGAGTAAATACCTGTCCATGTTTAAGATTCACCTCAGTGGTTATCTCTCATACGAA